ACCTTGATAAACATATATGCACCCAATATAGGAGCACCAAAATATATTAAAAATCTTCTGGAGGACTTCCAAGGAGAAATCGACAACAATACAATCATAGCAGGGGACTTCAACACCCCGTTTACAGCACTGGATAGATCCTCTAGGCAAAAAATTAGCAAGGAAACAGAGACTCTAAATGAAGCACTAGACCAAATGGATTTAATAGATATCTACAGAGAATTACACCCCAAAACTACAGAATACACATTCTTCTCAAGTGCACATGGGACATTCTCAAAGATAGACCACATGATAGGACACAAACTAAATCTCTACAAGTTCAAGAAGATTGAAATCATATCAAGCATCTTCTCAGATCACAGTGGCATGAAACTAGAAATCAATTGCAACAAGAACATGCAAAGACACTTCAACACATGGAGGCTAAATAGCATGTTATTAAACAATGAATGGGTCACCGAGGAGATCAAGGAAGAAATTAAAAACTTCCTGGAAACCAATGAAAATTAACACACAACAACACAAAATCTATGGGATGCAGCGAAAGCAGTTCTGAGAGGGAAGTTCATAGCACTACAGGCCTACCTCAAAAAACAAGAAAAATTTCTAATTGACTGTCTAACCTCACAACTTAAAGAATTAGAAAGCAAACAAAAAGAAAACCCCAGAGCACGTAGAAGGAAGGAAATAGTAAAGATCAGAGCAGAAATAAATGACATAGAGACCAAAAAAACAATTCAAAGGATCAATGAAACAAAGAGCTGGTTTTAAGAAAAGATAAACAAGATTGATGGACCCTTAGCTAGACTCACCAAGAAACAAAGAGAGAGAACCCAAATACACAAAATCAGAAATGAAAGAGGAGAAGTAACAACCGACACCACGGAAACACAAAAGATATGGCAACAAATTCAACAATCTAAGCGAAATGGACAAATTTTTAGAAACACACAGTCTCCCAAAACTATTCCCGGAAGAGATAGAAAACTTGAACAGACCAATAACAACTAAGGAAATTGAAGAGGTAGAAATTGAAGACTCTCCCAGCAAACAAAAGCCCAGGCCCAGATGGCTTCACGGGGGAGTTTTACCGAACATTCAAAAAAGAACTAACACCCATTCTCCTCAAACTATTTCAAAAAATTCAAGAAGAAGGAAGACTTCCAAACACGTTCTATGAGGCCAGCATAATTCTAATTCCAAAACCAGAAAAAGACACTACGAAGAAAGAAAACTACAAGCTAATATCCCCGATGAACATAGACACCAAAATCCTGAACAAAATATTAGCAAATCGGATCCAGAAATACATAAAAAAAATTATTCACCATGACCAAGTGGGATTCATTCCAGGGATGCAAGGCTGGTACAATATTCGCAAATCAATAAACGTGATACACCACATAAACAAAATGAAGAATAAAAACCACATGATCATATCAATAGATGCTGAAAAAGCATTCGACAAAATCCAGCATCCATTTCTGATAAAAATGCTCAGCAATGTAGGAATACAGGGATCATATCTCGACATAATAAAGGCCATATATGAAAGACCTACAGCCAACATAATACTCAATGGACAGAAACTAAAAACATTTCCATTAAGAACAGGAACAAGACAGGGATGTCCACTTTCGCCACTCTTATTTAATATTGTACTGGAAGTCTTAGCCACAGCACTCAGACATGAAGAAAAAATAAAAGGGATCCAAATTGGAAAGGAGGAAGTGAAACTGTCATTATTTGCAGATGACATGATATTATACATAGAAAACCCTAAAGACTCCATCAAAAATCTACTAGACTTAATAAATGAATTTGGCAAAGTAGCAGGATACAAAATTAACATCAAGAAATCGACGGCATTCTTGTACACCAATGATGAACTCACAGAAAGAGAAACTGAAAAAGCAATCCCATTTACCATCGCGCCAAAAAAATTACGATACCTAGGAATAAACTTAACCAAAGAAGTAAAGGACCTATTTGCAGAAAACTACAGGTCATTTAAAAAAGAAATAGAGGAAGATATATAAAAGTGGAAGCACATACCCTGTTCATGGATTGGAAGAATTAACATCATTAAAATGTCCATACTACCCAAAGCAATCTATAGATTCAATGCAATCCCCCTCAAAGTACCAACAACATATTTCATAGAACTAGAACAAATACTTCAAAAGTTCATATGGAACCAAAAAAGACCCCGAATAGTCACAGCAATCTTGAAAAAAAAGAACACAGTAGGTGGGATCACAATACCAGATATCACGCTATACTACAAAGCGACTGTAACCAAAACAGCCTGGTACTGGCACAAGAACAGGCATATAGACCAGTGGAACAGAACTGAAAACCCAGAAATGGACCCAAGGCAATACGCTCAATTAATATTTGACAAAGGTGGCAAGAGCATACAGTGGAGTAAGGACAGCCTCTTTAATAAATGGTGTTGGGAAAATTGGACAGCTACATGCAAAAAAATGAAACTAGACCATCAACTTACACCATACACAAAAATAAACTCAAAATGGATAAAAGACTTAAATGTGACCCGTGATACCAGAAAAATTCTAGAAGAAAATGTAGGCAACAAAATTTCGGACATCATACGGAGCAGAATTTTCACTGATACATCACCTAAGGCAACAGAAATAAAGGAGAAAATGAACACATGGGACTACATTAAACTAAAAAGCTTCTGCACAGCAAAAGAAACAATCATCAAAATGGAAAGGCAGCCCACTGATTGGGAGAACATCATTGCCAATGATGTATCAGATAAGGGGTTAATTTCCAATATATATATAGAGTGCTCATACAACTCAACAAAAGGAAGACAAAGAACCCAATGAAAAAATGGGCAGAGGAGCTGAATAGACACCTCTCCAAACAGGACATAGAAATGGCCAAAAGACATATGAAGAAATGCTCAACATCACTAATCATCAGAGAGATGCAAATTAAAACAATAATGAGGTATCACCTCACACCTGTCAGAATGGCCGCCATCAACAAATCATCAAACAACAAGTGTTGGCGAGGGTGTGGAGAAAAGGGGACTCTAATACACTGCTGGTGGGAATGCAGATGGTGCAGCCGCTATGGAAAACAATATGGTGCTACCTCAAAAAATTAAAAATTGAACTTCCATTTGACCCAGTGATCCCACTGCTGGGAATATACCCTAAGAAGCCTGAAACACCAATCAGGAAGAATATATGTACCCCCATGTTCATAGCAGCACTATTTACAATAGCTAAGATCTGGAAACAGCCCAAGTGTCCACCAGTAGACGAATGGATTAAAAAGCCGTGGTACATATACACAATGGAATACTATGCAGCGGTAAGAAAGAAAGATCTCTCATCCTTTGAGATGACATGGAGGGACCTGGAAAGTATTATCCTAAGTGAAAGAAGCCAAGCAGAAAAAGACAAATACCACATGATCTCACTTATATACGGAATATAATGAACATAACCTTCTGAGGAATACAGTAGACCCAGAAACATGGAAGTAGGGCACAGACTGACATCCCTCAGAAGAGGGAGTGGGGGGTGGGGGGGTGGGAAGAGATAAACCACAGAACTTATATGCATGTATGCATGACCAATGGACATGGACAACTAAGCCGAGGACGGGGTGGAGGTGGGGTGGGGTGGGGGGTGCCAATGGGGTAAAAAGGTAAAATATCTGTAACAAAAAGATAAATAAATAAATTCATAAAAAAATAAATAAATAAATAAAGATTAAAAAAAAAAAAAAAGATGTTTAATCTTTACATCAGACAGATGCACATTAAAACCACAATGAGACATCCCCTCACACGTGTCAGTGAGAATGGCTATCATCAATAAATCAACAAACAACAAGTGTAGGCAAGGATGTGGAGAAAACAGAACCCTCATGTACTTTTGGTGGGAATGTAGAATGGTGCAGCCACTGTGGAAAACAGTATGGATTTTCTTCTAGAAATTAAAAATGGAACTGCTTTATGACTCAGTGATTCTACTTCTGGGTATATATCCCAAGAAACTCAAAACACTTATTCAAAAGAATACATGCACCCCTATGTTCATTGCAATATTATATACAATACCCAAACTATGAAAGAAACTCAAGTTCCCATTAATAGTCTAGTGGATAAAAAAGAGATGGAATATTACTCAGCTATAAAGAAGAATGACACCTTACTATTTGTGACAGCATGGATGGACCTACAGGGTATTATGCTAAGGGAAATAAGTCAGTCAGAGAAATACAAATACCATATGATTTCACTGACATGTGGAATCTAAAAAACAATATAAATGAACAAACACAACATAAGCAGACTCATAGATAAAGAGAATATTTTGATGGTGGCCAGAGGGAAAGGGGGTTGGGGGGCTGAGTGAAAAGGTAATGGGATTGAGAGTACAGATTAGCAGTTACAAAACAGTCATGGAGATACTGTATACAGTAAACCATAGAAAGTAGGATCAACAATACTGTAATAACTATGTATGGTGCCAGGTTGGTACAGAAAACACTTTGTAAAGTATATTCTTTTCTAACTGTTATGCTGCACATCTGAGACTAATATAAAATAATAAATGTAAAGTCTTATTAAAAAACTAAATAAATAACAAAAAAGATGGTGGGGGGAGGACAGGAACTGGTAGACAGCTTTAAGAAAGTCATGAAGATATTTGCAGTACTGTGGTTCTTGGAAGTGAGCATGTACAATGTTTGCCAATAACTACCAGAGAAATGCATTTCAAATTCTCACACTGGTTATTACAACAATAACACATGAAGACCTACTAATTAATGAGGAGGAATATGAATTGTTATAGCAAATGTGGATAGGAAAATGTATGTAATTTTATGCCTACTTCAGTTCTCTGCACAATGTAACCTTTAAAAATATTTCTTAATATGTAAGCTTTATGGGGGCAAACCAAGTATAGGAAAATGTTAGAAAGTTCACCAAAACCTTGCAAACTCACAGGTCTTTAAGGGTAAGGCCCTTGATGATTCTGCAGAAGTGCACATTCCATATAGCCAGATCATCCAAATACTTGGAGGAGAGAAGAATGGCCCCCAAAACAACTCGTTTCCAGTTTGTGGGACTAATGTCTATTTCGGCATAAATCACAAGTCTTTCTATGTAAACCTGCGAAAGTGAAACACGGGTCTTTAATTTTAGTTCAGTTTATGTGCTGTGATAAGAACTGTTAGGAAGGACAGTCAGTCAGTTAGAGTAATACAAATACCATATGATTTCACTTACATGTGGAATCTAAAGAACAATATAAATGAACAAATAAAACATAAGCAGACTCATAGATAAAGAGAATATTTACACAGACTGCTTGGCCAGCCAAAGTCAGAGGCCAAGTCACAGTTGCAAACCAGGTACTTCTGTTGCCAACATTGCCCATGTGAATTTCTATCCAAAGTTTTGGTCACAGGAATGAATGGACATCTTAGCAAAAGACTCTCAGAGGAAATGCTATTACCTTTCTACTTGTAAAGGGCAGCACGGACAGGCCCAGTGTGGATACTTGAGTGCCTACCACGTGCACCATTTCATACCTGATTGGTAGTCATATACATAACACTTGAATACGTTAACCCCTGATAATACTGAGTTTATGAATACTTCTTTACACAGGACTAGTCCTTTTGTAGCACAAGCAGTAGATTCAACGGGTTGTCAAGAGAGCCCCCCGTGGCTGCTGTGCGGTGCAGCGGGACAGGCAGTGCAAAGGGCTGTGCTTGAGGCAGGTCTTGACAGCTGCCGAGTATTCCTGGACTTAGTGCCTTTGTCAGAGACACACATGCACACAAAGGAGGGTCTGTTTTCTATCCCTAGTCTGCACATCCTCAGGACCATTTTAGGAAATTCATCTCTGTCTTACACAGTCTGAGGCTTAGTCAGTGCTGGTGGTTTCAGGTGGTAACAGAGCTGCCATCTCTGCATCCCTGGTCCTCTACCCCTGCCAGGAGCTTGTGAGGGTTCATGACTTCTTTTACGTGTATTAAATGTCTGTTCTACAAAGACCTGGGCAACCTTAACAGCTAAGTAAACATTATAGAGGCAAGCTGTGATCTGTTGTTCCCTCAAAGGGTGCTTTGCAAAAGAGTATGTATGCCATTTGATGAAAAAAAAGAAGTCCAATTTTAAAGAGTATGTTTACTGTCTGAGGTTATCAATCAACAGTTCAGATTTGCCAATGTTCTTGAAACATTGGTTATTGAACATTATATGTTTTTTTAAATATGTTTTTATTGATTTTTTTTAGAGAAGAGAGAGAAATATCAATGTGAAAGAGAAACATCGATTCTGCAATCCCAGGATGAAGTTGCAGACTGGGGATGGAGCTCACAACCCCAGCATGTGCCCTGACTGGGAATCAGATCTGGACCTCTCAGTCAATGGGACAATGCTCAATCCACTGAGCCAAGCAGGCTGGTGAACATTATATGTTCTTAGTAAAAGTTTGCACCAATCCCCAATACTCAGAGCTCTCAGATATTCTCAGAATGAACTTCCTTGCACGGTTCAACTTTGTACTTTATGGGAATACTTAGAGGCAGTTTTACAACACTGGCAACCTCTCACCTTCCTGACACCTTTACTGGCAGACGTGGTATGTGCCATCCTCACTCATTCATGCCACTTGCCCTCCCGTGTCAGAGGGCCTGAGATTTCTCTTCGCACTGAAGCGAAGTCTTCTATCAGGTAAGTCGATCCCATCCCACTTCTGAAAAAGCCTCCCACAATTCCCTCATTTTGAAGAATCCTCCCTGTGTGCCAGAGATTTTCCCCAATGTGTTGACACTGTTCCCTGCCACCCCCAACCCCTAGAATGCTTCCCCTCATTTTGCTCACAACAAATGCCCTGATGCTGCTCTTCATCTTCCATTGTCTCCTTAACCCACTGTCTGCCCCCTGCCGCTATCACTCTACTGAACTACTACTGCTAAGATTATCGGTGCCTTTGCACATACACACCAGGGCTCTTCATCCCTCCTCCCCCTCCCCAAGCATTCTCTAATGTCATAAAGGGCACTGCCATTTGCCTAGTTGCGGGGACCAAAGCCTCCAATCTATTAATGATTCTTGCTATCTCTACCTATTATTGGTCATCAGACCACTTTCTATTTTACTTGTCACTTCTCACCTGGATCACTGTTATTGCCCCCTGACTTCTCAGCCTCCACTCAGACTCCCAGCCACAGTCTATTCTCCCCAGACAGCCAGGACAGCCCCTGCAATCAGGAGAACTTCACGACCCTGCTCAATATCTGCCAAAGGTTTCCCATCAAACAAACAAAAACATGTAACATCTTCCCATGGCCTGCCAGCTACAGGGCCCTACAAGATAGGACACTGCCCTTCTATGTCCTCATGTCCTACATTCTTTCCCTCATTCCATACCTCACAGTTGCTTGAACACACCAAACATGGTCCCGCTTCAGAATCGTGTACTTGTCTCGTCTGCCTACGATGCCGGAGCCCTTCACCCTCCTCAGTTCAGTCAGGTCACAGTTCAAATGTTTTCTCTTTAAAGAGGCTCTTTCCTTCCTGGCTGGTGTGGCTCAGTGGGTTGAGCATCATCCCAAGGACTGAGAAGTCATGGTTTGATTCCTGGTCAGGGAACATGCCTGGGTTGTGGGCTAGATCCTCAATATGGGGTGTGCAGGAGGCAGCTGATTGATGTATCTCTCTCACTTTGATGTTTCTCTCTCTCTCTCTCCCCCTTCTTCTCTCTCTAAAAAGTCAATTAAAAAAATAAAATAAAGAAGCTCTTCCTGATCGTTCTGTCTACAATAACCAGCCCCTGTGATCACTTTATCTCTTTACCCTGGTTCATCTTCTTGGTATTTACCACTACTTGAAATATTCATCTTTTTAAAATTACTCATTAAAATATATTTATGTCTTCCTCACTAGAATATAAGCTCCAAAATAGCAAAATCTTTATTCAACCATGCCTCTATCCTAAGCTCATAGGTCTGTAAGGACCATGAGCACGGAAGGGGGAACTTCCCAGGAGTGGCTAAGAGTGATGGAAAAACCAGAAGAAAATAACAAAAAGTCAAGATAAGTGAGATGCAAGAAAAGGAGTGTAGTCAAAATGCTAAATGCTGCCAAGAAGTTGCTCATTCCATGAATATCCACTGAATACCTAACTCTTTGTCACTGTTCTATCGTCTATACACTTTTTACTCACATACTTTCTATGCATTTAAATAGTGGATCATAATTCCCTATCTTCAGCTCAGATTCAGGCTGTTCCACACATTCAGATGACTCCTAGAGATGCCACTCTGCTGTCTCCCAGGTGCATCAAGCTTAACTCAGCTACAAAGGGCTCCCCTCTTCCAGCCCAGATGCTCTCTTTCTGTCCTGCTGAGCTCTCCACGTGGAAGCATCCTCCTGCCTTTCTCTGCCACCTGCTAAGCCCTCCTCCTGGTGGCTGGCACCTCCATGAAAAGGCCTGTGTCTGATCCAGTGACTATGAGGGTTCTCTAGTCAGAAGCACAGTGGCCTCTCCAAAATTTTACCTGAATGCTGAAGGAGGCACTGACCTAAGGATCCATTCCCTCCCGACCATGCAGTACACTTTCCCCTTTAGGACTGCTGGAGGGAGGAGTAATAAAATCCCAACCACTTCTCACTAGAATAGGACTACTTACTCCAAAGGAGAAACTCTTCCATAGGAATTCTGTATGAATGACACAAAGGTCCTCACACAGTGTAACTGTGCAGGCCTGTTTTTACACCGCCTGTTGAGGAACTACTGGCTCTATAATCCTGGGCAAGGTCACGAGCAGGCACAGAACAGCAGGGATGGATTTACACCCATCATCCAAGGAATGGAGAATTCGGGGCTCCGGTTCTCAATCAGGACACTGTCAGAACTGCCTGGGGATACAGCCTGGGATGCAGCTCAGACCTACACTGAAGCAGTCACTGCCTGGGAACCAGAGGTTATTGCCCTTCCTGCCCATCAGCACACCTTGTACGTGTGCATGTGTGTGCACTGCATGTGCACGTGTCTCCTGAGGGGTGGAGGCAGAAACCAGAACTCTCTCCTGCTGCCTCGAACAGCAGGGGTTTTGTGATGAGAAAAGCAAAGACATTTGAAATCATAATGATTATTGACCTCAAATATGTGTATTTCACGTCCTTGGACAGGTGTCTCCAATAAAGTTTGGATGGTTTTTATAGGAACCTACTTTTGTTTGATAAACTAGATCATACCCTGTGGATAAGACAGGAAAGATACTTTCTGAAAGAAGAACTATCTTACCAAAGTTGTTATTGCAAATTCACCAGTTAGCTTAAAGGCAGTGAAAATAGGATAAATGAATCTGTAAATAGATTCAGGATCAGGATTATGGTAAAAATATTCCTCTGGAACACTTTCTTCCTGAAAAAACAAAAATGCAATGTAAGTATCCACTTGAGAAAAACACTTTTTATGATGGCAGTCTACTCTACTTGTGCCCAGGTGCCCCTGAAGGGTGTTTTAGTCTTTTAAATATAAACAGTGAGACTTGAAAAAACACTAGTGATTCAAAACCACCACTCATTAAAGACAAATACAGGCACAACCGTAGAAAACTTATATGCTCCTTTCCACCTTCCCCTACAGAATTCTACCTAAATATAAACTAGCTTTAGGCTCAAAAGTCTTGTCGATTGCTCTGCCCTACTGCTCTGGGCTCAGCTCTGAATGTACACTCTCAGTTCCTGTAACCGGCAGGCGCTAGGGCCGGGCCCTGCTGCACAGCTCCACACGTTGCTGCAGAGACTCTGGAGCGGGGAGCAGAACAGTCTGGTCATTCTAGTTCTTTCAGAATTTAAAGAGTTATTTAAGTTTCTTCATAGAGGTCTTAACATACCTGTTAGGCTTATTTACAAATATTTATATAGTTTGATGCTACAAAAAATTATTTTAAAAAAGACATTTTTTTTGTTCGTTGGGTGTGTTTACTCACCTTAGCTCACTAATTATACAAAGCTGTAACTCAGTTATTACTGATATATTTCTTATACAACATTCCTTTTGTAAAATAATTAGATACAACCCGGGGTGGAGAAAAAAAACTGAAAGGAAGAAAATTTTGACTTCAAGCTGGAAGGAGTCTTTTCTTTCAGTAATTAATTTCAAAGCAGATCAGCATGGAATAGACACAACTATATGAGAGAAAAATACAACCTCAATACAATGGAAGCTTACTGTTAACGGATGCAATGGCTCCTCAAAAATATCTTTGGATCTGTTTGTATCTCTGTAAAATAAAAACATGTATTCAAAAATTGAATCCAGGACTTGTTAACTAACTTAGTAACACATCTGCTGGGAATAGACAGAGGGGTAGAGGGAGAATCTTAACCTTAAACACAGCACTTCTATAAATTCTTAGATTGTGTAAGAATTTTCTAACCTCTTTTTACTCAGCACATGAAATTCTGTGAAATCTTTTCCACACTGATCAGCCATAGTTAGTTAGCTTTGTAAGTAAGCACTGACCCTCCCTAAAAGGCAATGAGGGTCAACCAAATCTGTTTCCACTCCCCTACGCTCACACTGGAATACACAAAAACATTCATGAAGCAGCAGTGGTGGGCAATCATTCATGTGAAAATGAGATTTATGGTTTTTCTTTTCTTATTTGTTTCCTATATTATATTCTTATTATGTATTTCTTCTTGTTTCTTTTAAGAAGTTTGAGTTGCCCTGGCCAGTTTGGCTCAGTGGTTAGAGCGTTGGCCTGCGGTCCTGAGAGACCCGGGTTCGGTTTCCGCTAAGGGCGGGTACCTCGGTTGCAGTTTGTCCCCGGCCCTGGTTGGGTCGTGTGGGTGGCAACCACTCGACGTGTCCCTTTCACGTCGATGTTTTTCTCTCTCTCTCTCTCCCTCCCTCCCACACTCTATCTGAACAAAAAATAGAAAAAATGTCCTCGGGTGAGGATAAAAAAAAAAGAAGTTTGAGTTAAAAACTTGTCTTTTTATTTTTAAATGTGTACAGTCTATTTAAAATAATTTTTATTTATTTTAGAAAGAAGAAGAAGAAGAAGAAGAAGAAGAAGAAGAAGAAGAAGAAGAAGAAGAAGAAGAAGAAGAAGAAGAAGAAGAAGAAAGAGAGAGAGAGAGAGAGAGATTAGGGATCGACCTGCTACTGAGGTATGTGCCTGACCAGGAACTGAACCCACCACATTTGTTGTACTGGATGATGTTCCAACCAACTGAGCCACACTGGTCAGGGCAACCAGCCCTTTTTTTTTTTTTTCTTTTTAAAGTTTACCACATTAATACAAACACACTCTGTTTAAACAGTGATTCTCCAAGTGTGTTTTACAGGCCTCTGGGGTTCCCCTAGACCATTTTTGAAAGAACCATGATGCCCAAACTGTTTTTATAGAAATAGTGCCCTGGCCAGTTTGGCTCAGCTGTTAGAGGGTCAGCCCACGAACCAATGAGTCGCGGGTTTGATTCCAGTCAAGGGCATGTACCTCAGTTGCAATTCATCCCCGGCCCTGGTTGGGGTTGTGCAGGAGGCAGCCACTCAATGTGTCCCTTTTACATTAATGTTTCTCTCTCTTTCTCTCTCTTTTTCTCTCTCCCTTCCACTCTATCTGAACAAAAGTGGAAAAATGTCCTCAGGTGAGGATAAAAAATAGAAAGAAATATTAATGCGTTGCCTGCTTTTACACTGACATTGACAATAACTGTATAAAAGCAAAAGTCAATAAAACGATCTCTGAGCAGGACTCAAATGGGGTACCACACTGTACGCGCAGCCATTCTATTCTTCACTGACATGTGTTGTTGAAAAAACGTTCTGCTCTATTTAAGAACATCTTTGATAAAGCAATAAAAATATATAATGTATTACCCTTGATTCTCCTTTTTATATTCTGAATAAGTGGAAAGCATGCATTAAGTGCTTCTGCATACTGAAACTTGGCTGTGTTGAGGAAAAGCACTGTGACTTAGCTGTGAGCTGAACAAACCACGTTTTTCATAGAATAACATCTCTGTGTGAGAGTCCAACTGTCATTCCCTCAAAACTGAAAAGTGAGCCTGTCACTCCAAGGAAAAACACTTGTATGTTTGTTGCCAATGACAAAATTTAAGCTAACGTGCTAGAAATCAAGATTGGAGAAAACGTGTACCATTTTGTGACCTTGACTGCTTCTCAATCCTTAAAGGCTTTTCTGGTAAGACTGGTGGTGATATGATATAATAAAAGTGAGTGTGAACACTGTATAAAGAAATGTGAAGCAGTACTTTCCAATTGACCAATACATAATATTATTATAAAATTATTTACAAGGAAAAGGTTCATTCAGCATACAAGAAATACGCATGGGTATTACTTTGACACAGACCTTACTACATGCTCATGGATATGATTAAAAATTCCATTGTAACTAATTTAAGAAACTAGCACTTGTGGACTTTTGCTACAGTATCAAAGAATATGCACAATTATCTGAAGGCTTTAAAAATATACCCCTTTCGGAGACTTCCGGTCAAGATGTCGGCGTAGGTAAACGCGGTATTGCGTCCTCCCACAACCACATCAAAGTTACAACTAAACTACAGAACAACCGTCATTCAAAACCACCTGAAGTCAAGCTGAATGGAAGTCCTACAACTACGGAATTAAAGCAGCAGCCACATCCAGACAGGTAGGAGGGGCGGAGGCACGACGGGCTGGTCCCACACCCAAGCGTGGCGGATAAAAAACAGGAGGACACCTCGGCTGGGAAGGTCCTTCCTGAGGACTGAGGGGTCCCCGTCCCACACCAGATGCCCGACTCAGGGTTCCAGTGCCAGGAAGAGAATCCCCATAACTTCTGGCTGGAAAAACCAGCGGGAACTGAGGCTCAGGGAAGCTGACGCGGCTGGAGCCCCAGCAGCTCCTTAAAGGGCCCGCGCACGGACTTATCGGACTCTCTCCCTCTAAGCTTGGAGGGGAGGCAGCTCGAGGGGCACCAGAGACATACAGGGAAGAACTGAGCTGTTTGGCACTGGAGCGAGGGCTGGAGAGGGGGCTTCCTCGGGGACAAACGTGCTGTCAGAGGCCTTTGTTCCTTTGGTGAGCCCTTCCTGGGGGCGGCAGACAGTTGCCATATCTGGGACTCCAGCAACCTGGCTCACACTGGTAGCCCCGCCCTGGTGACTCCCTGAGGCCCCGCCCCGCCCCACCCAACTTTCTGGCCCACCCAAGCTGTTGGCACTTGCTTAACCATAGGATTGGCCTTTCTTGGATCCTGCTTCAGGTTTTTCCTAAATTCTTTCAAACGAGCAGCATCTGGTCTCAGCTAGCCCCATACCTCTCGTTAAGTAATACACTAAAACAAACACAGGGAGGCAGCCAAAATGAGGAGACAAAGAAACAGGGCCCAAATGAAAGAACAGAACAAAACCCCAATAAAAGAACTAAGCGAAAGGGAGATAAGCAACCTAACAGATGCTGAGTTCAAAATACTGCTTATAAGGATGCTCAATGAACTTAGTGAGAACCTCAGTGAACTTAGTGAGGGCCTCAAGAGCATAAAACAGGATCATTCAGAAATCATAAATGCACAGTTAGAATTGAAGGAGGCATTAACTGAAATAAAGAATAATTTACACAGCTTCAATAATAGAGTACATAAATCCAAGGAGCAAACCATCGATTTGGAATATAAGGAAGCAAAAAATGCCCAATCAGAACAGCAAAAAGAAAAAAGAATCCAACAAAATGAGGATAGTGTAAGGAGCCTCTGGGAAACTTCAAGCGTGCCAACATTCGCATCTTGGGGGTGCCGGAAGAAGAGCGAGACCAAGAAATCAAAAACCTGTTTGAAACAATAATGGCAGAAAACTTTCCTAACTTGGTGAAGGAAACAGACATACAAGTCCAGGGAGCACAGAGAGTCCCAAACAAGATGAACCCCAAGAGGCCCACACCAAGACACATCATCATCAAAATGCAAAAGGTTCAAGACAAAGAGAGAATCTTAAAAGCAGCAAGAGAAAGGCAGCTAGTTACCTACAGGGGAGTTCCCATAAGGCTGTCAGCTGATTTCTCAAAAGAAACTTTGCAGGCCAGAAGGGAGTGGCAAGAAACATTTAGAGTGATGAAAAGCAAGAACCTACAACCAAGATTACTGTATCCTGCAAAGCTGTCATTTAGAATCAATGGACATATAAAGACTTTTCCAGACAAGAAGTTAAAGGAGTTCATCACCACCAAACTGTTATTATATGAAATAATGAAGGGTCTTTTTGAAGAAAAAGATAAAATATATGAACAAACAAAATGGCAATGAATACATATCTATCAACAATGGAATCTACAAACAAAATGAACAGGAAGAACAGAAACATTCTCATAGATACAGAGAACATTTTGTTGGTTGCCAGTTGGGAGGGGTGTTGGGGGAATGGGTGAAAAAGGTGAAGAGATTAAGAAGTATAAATTCATTGCTAGACTGACAAACCTCAAAGGGAAAGGGGTTGGGGTGTGGGAAGAAATAAACCAAAGAACTTATATGCATAACCAATGGACACAGACAATAGTGTGGGAAAAGGCGGGAGGGGGGGGGAGTGGGGAGGAGGGGGTCAATGGGGAAAAATGTGGACATCTGTAATACATTTTACATTCAACATTAAAGATTTAAAAATAAATAAATAAATAAAAGGCTTAAAGATAGATAGATAGATAGATAGATAGATAGATAGATAGATATAGATATAGATATAGATATAGATATAGATATAGATATAGATATAGATATAGATATAGATATACCCCTTTCTGCCCTGGCTGGTTTGGCTCAGTGGTTAGAGTGTCGGCCTGTGGTCCAGAGAGACCCGGGTTCGGTTCCCGCTAAGGGCTTGTACCTCAGTTGCAGTTTTTCCCTGGCCTTGGTTGGGTCATAAGGGTGGCAACCTCTTGATGTGTCCCTTTCACGTCGATGTTTCTCGCTCTCCCTCCCACTCTATCTGAACAAAAAATAAAAAATGTCCTTAGGTGAGGATAATAAAATAAAATATACCCCTTTCTAGCAATAAAGATAAATGAGGCTGGCTGGGTCTTCTTCATACTGTTTTTTTTAAAAAAAAAACCAACAAATTATTGAGATGATTGAAGTAATTACAAATAATTAAAGACAGGGTATACATGAGAATTAGATGTCTTCTATTAAACCAGAAACAAAGAGATTGGTAAAAATGTAAATAAATGACACAATTTCCACTCAAAATTTTTGTTGTGGAAAAAAAAAAAAAATATATATATATATATATATATATATATATATATATATATATATATATATTTTTATCCTCACCCGAGGACATTTTTCCGTTTTTTGTTCAGGTAGAGTGGGAGGGAGAGAGAGAGAGAAACATCGATGTGAAAGGAACACATCGAGTGGCTGCCACCCGCACAACCGACCAAGGCCGGGGACAAACTGCAACCGAGGTACCAAACCCTTAGCGGGAACCGAACCCGGGTCTCTCAGGACTGCAGGCCGACGCTCTAACCGCTGAGCCAAACCGGCCAGGGCGAAAAAAATTATTTTTTATAAAATATTCTGTAAACAGTATGGTTCCCAATAAGGGGTGATTTTGTCCCCTGGGAAACATTTGGCTATGGTTGTGGACATTTTTTTGTTGTTACAATGTGATGTGGGAAGAGGGTGTTATTGGCATCTAGTGATTAGAAGCCAGGGAAGCTGCTAAACATCCTATAACAACAAGGCCATCTGAGACAATGAAGAATTATCTAGCTCAAAATTTCAACAGAGCTATAAGAAAAAAGGTTTTAACATACCAGGGACTAATTTTTTAATTCTCAATTTTAATTTCTAGTGCAGTAAATATCAATACAGCCCACATAAACAAATACCCTTTGGGACCCTCAATAACCTCTAAAAACAAATGATTCACTTAAATAATGTAGTAAAAGCACTCTATGATTTACTCCAATAATGTCTATAGTTATTAGCTAACATTAAACTTTGTATTTTATAAGTCTATTAGCTAGAATAACAAGACAGGTTTTAAACTCACCTGTTCTTAATGTGGTAATATATTGCTAATCCCAGGCTGTGGAGGAAGAAGAAATTGTAACAATTGATTTAATGTGAGGTCTGAAGACATGTCTCAAAAGGGGTTGTGGTGGAGGAAGACCTGCCCAGCTGCCCAGTGGCCATGGAATCCTCACTCAGAACAGCACATGGGCACTTTGCACCCTGTAGTTCTTTGCTTTTAGCAAAATAGAAAAACCCAAATGCTATGCAATATGCTGTTAGAAGACATGTTTCCGTTGGTTATTATAAGTTATTACACATTTTTTATAATTTGCACTTCTACCCACAGAACCTTTCACCTGTACAAGTTACATCTATCTGTACACACGCTTAAATTTAAGTCACACAGTAGCTTTCCCACCTACCCACCCATTTTCCATCATTTCCCTGAAGGTAAATAAGATGCTCTATACCAAGTAAAATCATGTAACATCACTTTTACATAATTATTAGAAAATGTAATGACAGATATAAGAACCCAGAAAAACAATAGGTCTAACTCTCCCAAAATAGGCAGTGCTAACAATGCAGCATAATAGGGCACAATATTATCTTAATAACATTTATTTCAAAGTTAGCTTAAATAAATTTTAATGAGCAGATGTAAGTCCTCAGATACTGTGTAAGTTAGTGTATCCCTAAGGTATTCACAGATGCTGTGCAATAGGAAAGAGAGGAATGATGTAGGTTAAGTGATATGCTTTTCCTCTTTGCCCCCAGTGACTAAAGTAAAGCTCAAAATGCTTGAGGGAAAGCAAATGTGAATTTATAACTAGGTCTAAGAATATTAGCACTTATAAAAAGTCCTATAACATTAAAAACCAATTTAAAAAATGAAAAATAAAGCTTCTCAGGTGATTGTAATATGTGACCAAGTTTGAGAACACATGAATTACAGTTAAAATCAGCGTCACCCTGGATGCTTTTCTCCATATAATTATGCCTCTCATCCTTCCTTAGATTTTCAAAAAGCTTATGAGAGTAAGATAATGTGTTGGGGAAGGAAAAATGAAATGCATGTGCTTAGAAAAACAGATTTTTTTAAAAGTTGCATCAGTGATTCTAGTAAGTCTCATTCAGCCCATTCAGAACACTATATAAAGAATAACATCTCTAGCCCTGGCCAGTTTGGCTCAGCAGTTAGAGCATTGGCCCACGGACCAATGAGTCACAAGTTTGATTCAATTCATCCCTGGCCCTGGTTGGGGTTGTGTGGGAGACAGCCACTGGATGTGTCTCTTTCACGTCGATGTTTCTCTCTGTCTCTCTCTCTTCCTCTCTCCCTCCCACTCTATCTGAACAAAAGATGAAAAAATGTCCTCAGGTAAGGATTAAAAAAAAGAAGAACATCTCTATGTGATAGTACAACTGTCATCTCTCAAACTAAAAAGTGATCCTGTCACTCAAGGAAAATAACTTGTATGTTTGTTCCCAATGACACAATTCATAATAAACATTCTATTATGACACTACTACCCCACAATAAACATTTTTTCTAAACCATTTCTGAAAGCTAATTAGCTGTGTTAACTTTCTCACTACACCTTTATTTTACCAACAGTAAATGTACTGAATGATCATTTTCAAAACATAATGAGAGCAAATTAAAACTTTACTGTACTTCCAAAAATTAGACTAATTTGGAGAAAAAAAGCTTAACACTTACTTAAAACTGAGCAAAGTTAATCTCTGATACTACTTTTGAATTATATACTGTAACATCAAAATCTTTTGCATTCAAAAGAAGCCATGGAGCCAGATTCGAGTGGTTTTTCACTCATGGATTTAGTGTCCCAGCTAAATAAAAACCTCCAGTGATTATGTGATAGGTGCCAATGCTCAGGACTTAGAGAGGGGCAGGACTCAGTTTTTGCTCAAACACAATTTGATCTCAACTATTATTATAAGTAAGAAAAGTTACATTATTATGATTGTGAACTTGCTGTTTTTAATTAAAGTAGAAGTTACTGATCATTTAGTTAGCAAAAAAGACTGGTACAATAGAAACAAAATTAAGTTTATAAACAAATTATGTTTTTAGGACTGAAAAATAAAATTAGCAATAAGAATATTTCATATTTTCAGGGAACATTTCCCAAACAGTGCTCTGGGATATCAACACTCACATCCCAGGGAGATGCTGAATGTTCCTTGGACAACCCAGTGGGATCAGGAAGATCTACATCCTACTTTGGTTTTGTTTTGCTATTAGATAAGCCTGAAAATTTTATCTTAGGTATTTTTAAAAAGCATCTCCAACTGTGGACTATGTGGTGCTCGCAGAACTTAAGGAGCAGTTTTCCTCATCACGACCCTGTTGTGTTTGCTGCAGTGTAAAGTGCCTGTGCCTGTGTTTCCACAGCCTCACAGCTCTTAGGTTTCTCTGCTGTGATTTTCTTACAAAAATTGATATAGTGTCTTGGACATGTGTTTATGTATCTATATTTATACATAGATAACTAAATGTATTACATCTATAAAATTAAAACCTCAGTTGAACAAATTTTATCCACAAAGAAATTAACTTGAAAATTTGTTCCTTAAGACTGGTTTGATGCATTTTTCCTAAAAAAAAAAGAAGTAAATTTTTATATAAAAATAGTGCAGAAGAAAACCATGTATGATAGAGGAAGCCTGACAAAAGCCAATGAACCCAAAGGCAGGTGCACTCTGGTGCCGGAAGGGGACAAGCTGTTTCTCCTTCCAGGAGCAGCTACCAGAGGAGAGCATGTTAGAGGCTCGGGTCCCATAAAGAAATACTTTCTTTCAATCTCTTATCCTTTGAGATGACATGGAAGGACCTGGAGACTATTATGCTAAGCGAAACAAGCCAAGCAGAGAAAGACAAATATCTCATGATCTCCTTATTTGTGGAATATAATGAACATAACAAACTGATGAGCAAAATTAACCCAAAGACATAGAGGTGGGGTAGAGACTGACAAGCCTCAGAGGAGGGGGGCCTGGGGGGTGAGGAGATAAACCACAGAACTTACATGCATGTGTACATGACCAATGGACATAGACAACAAAGCTGGGGATGGAGTGGAGAGGGAAGGGGAGGAGGGGGTCAATGGGGAAAAAATGAGAAACATCTGTAACAAAAACAAATTAATAAATAAATAAAATAAAAATTAAAAATAAAAATAAAAATTCTTTCTTTCAAGAAACATTCAGTAAAAAGCACCTCTCCTTTCATTGTTCAACAATGTCTCAACAACAGTAATGCATCAAGTAACAATAAATACTTTTGGGAGGATGTTTTATTTGCTGGCTTTCCTTTCTTTTATCCACTCTAATGGAACCTGAAATTAATATATACTTGAGCCCTGGTCGGTTTAGCTCAGCAGTTAGAGTGTCAGCCTGTGGTCTAGAGGAACCCAGATTTGGTTCCCGCTAATGGCGCGTACCTAGGTTGCAGTTTGTCCCCGGCCCTGGTTGGGTCATGCAGGAGGCAGCCACTTGATGTGTCCCTTTCATGTGTTTCTCTCCCTTCCACTCTATCTGAACAAAAAGTCCTTGGGTGAGGATAAAAATATATATATTTGACACCAGTTTCTTATCCTGATCATTGAAAAGGACAATCAAATGAGTGAAATTACACAGGGCAGGAAGCCTGTGGCATAAGGAAGTCTGTCACTGAGCCCTGGGCAACCTATTTGTACTCACCATTGCATGGTGATTTTAGGATTAGGCTGGCAAATTGTACTCCCATCTAAAAATATAGTTGAGCATGAGCTGTGCTTTTCATGGAGACCTGAAGACACCTGAAGGGGAAGGAAAACAGAAGAAAATATCATAGTAAAAGTTAAACCTATAAAAATGTCTTTTTTCTTGGTTAAAATGTTAAATGATTAAACATTAAACTTTTTTTGCCCTGGCCGGTTTGGCTCAGTGGTCAGAGCATTGGCCCGAGGACCAAAGGTTCATGAGTTCGATTCCCAGTGAAGGGCAGGTACCTGGGTTTCAAGTTTGATTCTGGGCCCTGGTGAGGGTTGTTCAGGAGGCAACCAATCATTAACTTTTTTTTAACTCTATGAACTGCTGTAGTGCGATATCATGTGCACTCTACTGAAAACCCATGAGACAACCACAGAGATTTGAGGAAGGGGTTATAAAATGCTACTCTTGATCTAGTACCAATAATCAAGCCTGGTAAATACCTACGATAACTTTCCTTTGTAATAATATAAAACATTTAGAATAAAATTTCAGTGTGTCTTTTTTTCCTTAAGAAATGAAAGGCAGCTGAGATTTCTATTTCTAGTATTTATTTTCTACATTAAAACATAATTCCTTATATAATATTGAAACGAGCATTTTGATGAAGTAAATGAAACCAATAATACATATTAGTTCAGGAGACAGTGCAACAAAACAAAGGTACTTGAGTCAGAGGTGTGTGTGTGCTGGGGCTGGCCCAAGGCTTACAAGCTAGGGGGTCAGAGATCTCTCTGGGCCTCAGTTTCCTTATCTGGAGGATAAAACAGTATTGTTTTAAGATTCTGTCACATCCAAAAATAAAAAAAGATAAAACAACTCCGAGAATGTAACTCTCCCTCATGTTTGACTAAGACTATCATTACATTACTCCAATGGGAACCTCAGAGAACACTTTCCATTATGTTATTACTTCTGTCCTCTAAGTTGCGTGACACTCATCAGGGCCCTGCCTCACTCATGCTGCTCTCTCTGGCTACAAGGCCTTTTCTTCCTCCTTTTCCAGCAAGTTTAACCCCCCTTCCCATCGGCCTCCAGGATGCCTCTGCCAACAGCCACACAGAAAAACGTCTCCCTGTCTCTGCACTGGCACATCCCAGTTACCACTTGTTACATGGTATCAATTGCTTACAGGACGTCCCTTCCTACAAAGAGCTTCTCCAGGAAGGGAGGACTCTTACTCCTCTTCTACCTCCAGTGCTGAGCACAGAATCGGGACAAATTAGAAATTTAAAAGTGTTCAACAAATTATTTAAATCTTACTACAGATTCAAATTAAAATTGATTTGCAGTGGTATCAAAGAGGTGACAGTAAATTTTGAGACCCTCTAGAAAGAAAAACTACCTTTAAAACACTTTAGAAGTATTTGTTTATTTTAAAGTATTTACTGATTTGTTTTTTTTTTATCCTCACCCGAGGACATTTTTCCATTTTTTGTTCAGATAGAGTGGAAGGGAGAGAGAGGAAGAGAGAGAGAGAGAAACATCGATGTGAAGGGACACATCGAGTGGCTGCCACCCACACGACCAACCAGGGCCGGGGACAAACTGCAACCGAGGTACGTGCCCTTAGCGGGAACCGAACCCGGGTCTCTCTGGACCGCAGGCCGACGCTCTAACCGCTGAGCCAAACCGGCCAGGGCAGTATTTACTGATTTGTAGAGAGTCCAACAATAAAGCAATAATAAAATATGGAAATAGCTTAAACTATGTTAGGATGAGCCTTTTCAAATAAAACCAAAAACAAATCCTGGTCAGTGTAAATAATTGAAAGTAATCGTAGCATTCTTTAATGCCACAGAATACCAACAATTTTAATATGCTTGGTTGTGCTAGCAGCGAAACAGCACCAGATGTTAGATATTGGTCCTTGTGTTCAGCTGAGAACTCAAATTATAAGGGAAAGTGTATTTAGAAAGTCATGGAGGTAGAGGAAGTAAGCCAGCTGGGCTGCATGGGCTCAGGAAACAAATTGCAAAGGCAAAAGAAGGGCCCTTGGAAGTTAGAAGAAAAAAATGCAAGGATATACATGCCTGGGAAAAGAAGAGGGGGAAGGGTACAGGTGAGTTCCAGGGTGAGCACACCTGAGAATAGAGTGAGAAAATGCAAAGGCATGGTTGAGAGAGAGAGAGAAAGAGGGAGGGAGGGAAGGAGGGAGGGAGGGAGAGAGAGAGAGAGAGAGAGAGAGAGAGAGAGAGAGAGAGAGAGACGAGAGAGAGAGAGAGAGAGAGAGAGAGAGAGAGAGAGAGAGACGAGAGAGAGAGACGAGAGAGAGAGACGAGAGAGAGAGAGAGAGAGAGAGAGAGAGAACATGTTCATTGGGCTCTTTATCTTAAGAGTTTTTATTTAAATGCAGAAACTTTAGAGCAGGTCTGAGCGGAGGATCTGGAGAATATGCATGACTTTTCCAGGTGTGTCCTCTCAGGGTTTGGTTACCACTGGTTGTTTGGTGCCAGGACAGAGGGTCATTAGTTGTTGCAGCTGGTCCTGACCTCAGTCATGGCATTGCCCTGCCTAGACTTGCTGCTTTTCTGGACTTAGATGTTATCTATAGTTTGGCCAAAACTCTGTCTCTGTGATCAATGGAACAGAGGCTTTGTTCATAAGATTATTTGATGTGGGTCAGAACCTCGATGTCCAGAGATATGCTAGGGGAGGAAAGGTCACCCTGGGGCAAGGTCCACCTTGGTTTCCCAATTTGCCCATTGCTAGGCACCCAAAGCTTTCCTCCCTGATAACACACTCAGCCCATTGTTCCTACTGTGTTCATGTCTAGCTTACTGCCTACTATATCAGTTTTGTTGTATTTTTATAAACTAATTCAAATGAGCCTTCCTTCCTTACATTAATATAAAACAGCTTTCATCACCTGTCATACGTTCCCATCAGTATCCCCCACAAATACACCAAAGATAGGACAGGGGGGAAATCTAGTTGATGTCTTTTAAAATACAGAGCATTTAAAAACTACCAGTAGCCAATAATCAGAAATATCTTTATATTATATAAAACACCATTTTGCCTGTTTCAGATGTTTTACTTTAAAACCACTTATTTCTCATGAAGCAAAAGTCCCAGATGGCATATTTTTTAAAAAAAAAAAAAAACACTACTGGGAGGAATAAATTCTCCTTCAAGCTTGAAATGTTTAACTATAGTTAAAACTCTGATATGTTCCTTAAGCTATGCAGTTAACATTTAATTTACATTTAGAATCTCAAAAAGATAAATACAGTATAAAATATAAAATCCATTTAAATACTTTTATTCTGAATGGAAAGTAATCTTTTAAGTTCACTACTATTAAGGTGTAATATGGCATATAATACACCACAATAAAGTCAACTATGACCCAAACCTATATATATAGGAGAGTAAAAAAAAAAAAAAAATAAGAAAAAAATACACCAAAATATAGACTACTTGGTAAAGCTTTGGGTGATATTTGCTCCAATTTTCTTTTACTTAATTTTTTTTCTATTATGAATGTATAGTGGTTTGTATTTGAAAATATTAATGCTAAAACATTTAAAATTGTTAATGAGTCACTGGCTCACAGCTCTATGGGGGCTCAGCCAGTAAATCAACAACTTACAGTCTACTGGCTACATTCAACCAAAGAAATGGGGAACATTTCCCCATCACCCCAGGCCCACTCCCAACTATTCCAACTTTTCAGTTTCAAGTGTCTGGATCCACTAGAGGGCGACAGAACTAAGCCTCCTAGCAAAGCCTGAATATATTGGCTGCCAGATGTTACTTTGCCTTCATCTTGCATGAAAATTTAAAACAATTGTTCTTTATGCTTAAGACCTTTCTATCGCTGATTTACAACTTCAATAAACTACACTGACAAACACAATGATAAAAATGTAAATTAAAAAAAATCAAAGAGCCAAAATACTGTTGACAATTTAGTGTTCATAAATATTTTGGTTGGTCACTAGAATAGACAGGGACAAAAATCCTACCACATCTTCATTCATTCAGCACAAATGACAGAGTAGATGGACTTATACAATCTTTGCAAAGAAGGGAAGGGGTTACTTAGTAGACTTAAAGTTCAATAGCAACCACTGGAAAAATAACCATACCTAGAAGTCTAACAGGTAACAACCAAAATCTTACTATCAAGTGAAGTACCTGTTGAAATCCTGCCCCCACCATTGTGTCTACTGTCTTGTGTTAACCCATTAAAACATGGAGCTGACATTTACTGTTTTCTCTACTTTTTCACAAGACAAGTTTTGGACATTAAGAATTAATGATTTTTAATTAACTTAAAAATTTCTCACACTTTTAGGCATTAATGAACACTGCTCCATCGATGTTGCACACAAATAGGACAATATGGCAAACTGCATGGTTTGAATAGAATTCTTAATCCAGGTTTAGTGTACTATGCTAACTACAGGCATAGGCAACAATATTCTCTAAATTAATATGATTTTTTAAAATTAAAACTTTAAGCTTTGATTTATACTTTAAGTAGATGTTCTGGGTTTGAGTTAGAACCTATAAGCTTAAGATTTCCAGTCCCCTTCCTTTCAGAGCAATGTCATTGGAATCAAAGGCATTAAAAAAGCTCTACACAATATAAAATAACAGCAGATGATTTTTAATGTTTGAGAGCTGAGCACTACATGAAGGAGTGGTCACTGACATGGCAGAACAGAGGAGAGGAAGCACTACCTTGGTGCCTGAAGAGAGGGTCTGGGTCAGGAATAAGAAACCAGTCTGTCTTACAGAACCAAGGCAGGCTCAGAATTCAGTGCCGCATTTCTGCAGAGAAGCTCTGTCAGTTAACAAAAGTTCTGCTCACTCCTAGTTCTTCAGATTAGATATCAAAAGTCAGGTACCACCACACCTCTAAGGGAAGCCATAAAATAAGATCCAAACAGAATTAACTACTCCAAGACAGGTAATAACAAGTGTTGGAGAGCCTGTGGAGAAAGAGAAACCTTCATTCACTGCTGGTGGAAATATAAACTGCTACAGCCACTATAGAAAACAATATGGAGTTTCCACAACAGATTAAGAGTAGAGTTACCATAAGACCCAGCAACCCCTTTTCTGAGTACCTACCCCCAAATTTTGAAAACACTTATTTGCAAAGCTACATGCACCCCTACTTCCACTGCAGAGTTATTCACAGTGGCCAAGACATGGAAACAATCAAAGTGTCCTTCAATAAATGATTGGATAAAGAAGACATAATACATATATACAATGGAATACTACTAAGCCATAAGAAAAGATGAAGTACTGCCATTTGCGACAACATGGGTATTATGCTAAGCAAAATAAATCAGTCATTAAAAGCTAAGAACCAGCCCTGGTCAGTTAGGCTCAGCTGTTAGAATATCAGCCCATGGACCAAAGAATCATGGGTTTGATTCCTGTCAAGGGCACGTACCTCAGTTGCAGTTTGGTCCCCCATCCTGGTTGGGGTCCTGCGGGAGGCAACCAATTGATCTGTCTCTCTCCCATCTCTCTCTCTCTCTCCCACTCTCTCCCTCTCCCTCCCTCCCTCCTTCTCTCCCACTCTACCTGAAGATAAGTGGAAAGGTATCCTTGGGTGAGGATTACAAAAAAAAAAAAGCTAAGAACCATATGATTTCACTCATATTGGGGACATAAAACTAAAACTCATAGACACAGACAACAGTATGGTGTTACCAGAAGAAATGAGTGCTGGGGGTAGTAAAGGGTGAAGAGGGTCTAATATACGGTGAGAGAAGATGATTTGACTTTGAGTGGTTGGCACACAGTGCAATATACTGATCGTGTATCTTAAAAATATTTACTCGAAAAATTATATAATCTTATTAACTAATGTCATCCCAATAAAATTAATTTAAAAAAATCAGAACTCATAAAGAAAAGTTGAAAACATTTTCTAAAATCTACATGCTAAGAATATCACATTTTTAAATGATTACTTTAATAGAGCAACTTAGAATCTACAGTATCAGCAAATGAGTTGTCCTATGTAAACGAAAACTATTGCATTAAAAAAAAAATTAATGGGAGTGATAAAATTCAGGAGCTAAGATAACACTTTAAAAAAATAATTCTTAACCTCATAGAGGCAAAAATTTGCATTGATAAAAGAACATAATACCATATAAAAAAAGAATGATAAGATATAAGAGAGCAGTATAAGTTAAAAACAAGATAGCAAAACAAAGAATTATAAAAATGCTAGAGCATAAAGTCAAGAAAATCTCCAGGAAGTAGAAAAACACAAAAAGGAAAATAAGACAGGAAATGTTACAGATCTGTGCAGGAATACTGATCTCAGAGTTCCAAATACTGAGAAATGGGAATACTAGAAAAAAGGAGAAAAAATATATATAAAAGAAACAAACAATAAAATTCCCTGAAAGTAGATAAGATCAGCAGTCTTAATGGCCACAATAAACTAAAAAGGTACATGTTATATTATAGTATAAAATTTCAGAATCCAGGGAATAGAGAAGGTTCTTCAAGTTTCCAGAGAAGAAGGGGATGGGGGAATAACTGGAATTGGTAATGTACAATGTATCATACACTGTCAACAGATTTAAGAGCAACACTGGAATGGGGACACAGCAGAAATGTCTTTAGAACTGCAAAAATTAATTTCAACCTAGAATTCTATACTTTACTAAACAGGGGGCATTTCAGAGGCTAGGTCGCTAAAAAATGTCTGCCCAGGGGTCCTTGGCCAGGACAAAGAGCTCCAGGAACACAGGGGCACATGACAAGACAGAGGAAACATACAGCCTGGGACAGAGCCTTTCCACCAGAGTCCCGTGCGGCACACTGGAGAATTATCAAAACCTGCCGAACCTGACAGTTTAGACAAGGGCACTGACCGTTTTACCCTTAGAGTGTCAAATTTAAAAAATGAACAGCCAACACAATAGATGTCCAGCGTGGATGAATCAAAATTACACCTATTTTATTGCATGTCAGATTGGCAACATATACATATTTCAGTGTGCCGCAAAATTTTAGTTACTAGTTTATGTGTGCCGTGGGATGAAAAAGATTGAAAATCACTCATCTAAGACATAGGAGATCCAACACGAGAGAACAGTTATGTGAGACCCAGATGACTTTAAAGAAATATGCCCAAAAAACAGGAGCATAGCAGGCCTAGGGGAACCAGTCTGTGCTATAATAGGGTAAGATTGCTTCCAATGGAGAATGGAACAAATATGTTTAGTAAATGAAAAATATTTTTGACAAGTCTGTGACTAATGCTACCTCATTTCTAAAAAAAAATAGGTGTTAGAAAACAGGAAGTGAATCTAGTCCAAAAATGTATTCCACACACAACAAAAATGTAGACTTACTAGGTATTATGTTAATGTAGCATAAATGCAGTATTTCTGTCTAATAGTCTTCTTTCTCTGCCAAATTACTAGATAGTTAGGTACAAAAAAAGTTATTTTGAAGCAGGGAGACCAGCCTACTCTCTGCACTGGGCTCTGAGGTCGTGTTGACCAGGGAGAAGGGTGTGGAGGGTCCTGGGGAAGAGGAGAAGTGCTCAGATTTCAGTCATGTTAGAGAAGGAGAATGAAGGGTGGACAGGAGAGAGGCTCAGCCAGAGAACACTACGGCTCAGCAGTAGATCTACTTACACAGCCACAACCATGTGAACAGGGATTCTGATTTAGTAAAAACCATGATACACATTGAGGGAGAGAGTGGAAATAAGGCCACGTGGAGAGAACGCTGAGCTCTCAGCTGCTAGGACAGTAAGTCCACAGACAGTGCTAACAACTGACAGCTATTACATTGTTGTTCACTTCATTAAAAAATAAGAATAAGCCCTGGACAGTTTGGCTCAGTGGTTAGAGTGTCAGCCTGCAGTCCCGAGAGACCCGGGTTCAGTTCCCGCTAAGGGCATGTACCTCGTTTGCAGTTTGTCCCCAGCCCTGGTTGGTCGTGCGGGTGGCAGCCACTTGATGTGTCCCTTTCACATCGATGTTTCTCTCTCTCTCTCTTCCTCTCTCTCCCTCCCACTCTATCTGAACAAAAAATGGAAAAATGTCCTCGGGTGAGGATAAAAAAAATTTTTAAAAATAAAAATTAAGGCAGATCTTTATACCAGGACAATGTTATTGAAATTTAACTTAAAGGTCAGAACCCTTTAAAAACTGGGCATTTGTAAGCCAAAACCTTTCCTGAATATTTAAATTTGATAATTAAGATAACAGGAGATTTAAAAAAATCTACCCAAAAAGATCCATGCTAATGATATTGGGTCCATTATATATTTTTTTAAATCATGGCAGACAATTATTCAAATTATTAATTTCTTACTTAACTTTTCAACTGTTTACTTACATGAAATGAATGGCTCTTCTTACTCTTTTCTTCCACTGAGAATTTAAAAAAATTAACATATCAATTCTGATACAAATGATAGAAAAAAACAAATGTTACTGATTACCTGAAAGAGTACCAAAATAAGACAAAATTTAATTCCATTTCTTTTATAATTTCCAACAAAATGTATAACTTAAATCTCCTGGCCAGTTGAGCTCCGTAAAGTAACATCTTACTTTTTTGATCTAACAGATACTCTATATCAGGTACAAATGAAAGTCTTTCCACACACAGAAGAAAAGGGCAAAGCAAACCAGGCCAGGTGAGAAACACAGCTAATACAAAGTTTACCTGTTGCGTATCTGAACCACTACCTCAGTGGTAGTTTCTGATTCTACATTTACACCCACTTCACCTGAATCACCAGGATCAAACAGTTGACAGCTCTAAGAGCCAGTTTCTGGCCAGGCATCTGGAAATATCCTGAACCCCTTACTGGTAACCAACTAGAATATCTTACTGAAAAAAAAAAAAAAAAAAATGTGTCATTACTCAGTTGCAAAGTCTCCTATCTAATTTAAATTTAAATGGAGTATGGCTAATCTAACTAAACATATGTACAACACAAAATCGTTTTGTTCTAACAATATACAGAAGAAAAATAAAAACTCCAAAGAGGGTCTTGGGCTGTCCTGTTTTTCACACAGCCTCCTTTAATGAAAAATGAGCATCATGGGCACACACTCTTCAGGACTGAAGAGAGGGCATGGGAGAGCATCTCCTGTGTTTTCCATAGTGGCTGCATCAATCTGCATTCCCACCAGCAGTGTACTAGAATCCCCTTTTCTTGACACACACCCCCCCACCAGCACTTGTTGTTTGATGATTTGTTGATGGTGGCCATTCTGACAGGTGTGGTGATACCTCATTCTTGTTTTAATCTCTAATGATTAGGGATGTTGAGCATTTTTTCATATATCTCTTGGCCATATGTATGTCCTTTTTGGAGAGGTGTCTCTTTAGGTCCTCTGCCCATTTTTCAATTGGGTTCTTTGTCTTCCGTTTGTTCAGCTGTATGAGTACTCTAAATATTTTGAAAATTAGCCTCTTATCTGATGTATCATTAGCAATTATGGTCTCCCTTCCCATTTTGATGATTGTTTACTTTGCTGTGCAGAAGCTTTTTAGTTTGATGTAGTCCCATGTATTCATTTTTTCCTTTGTTTCTGTTGCCTTAGGTGATGTACCAGTAAAAATTCTGCTGCATATGATGTCTCAATTTTTGCTGCCTATATTTTCTTCTAGGAATTTTATGAATTCACAAGTCACACTTAAGCCTTTTATCCATTTTGAGTTTATTCTTGTGTATGGTGTAAGTTGGTGGTCTAGTTTAATTTTTTTTTTTTTTTTTTTTTTTGCATGTAGCTATCCAATTTTCCCAGCACTATTTACTGAATAGGCTGTCTTGACTCTACTGTATGCTCTTGCCACCCTTGTCCAATATTAATTGAGCATAATGTCTTGGGTCCATTTCTGGGTTCTCTGTTCTGGTCCATTGATCTATCTGCCTGTTCTTGTGCCACTACTAGGCTGTTTTGATTACAGTGGCTGATATCTGGTATAGTGATCTCTCCTACTTTGTTCTTCTTTTTCAAGATTGTTGTGGCTATTCAGGGCCTTTTTTCATTCCATATAAACTTTTGAAGCATTTGTTCTAGTTCTGTGAAGTATATCGTTGGCATTTCGATGGGGATTGCATTGGATCTATAGATTGCTTTGGGTAGTATGAACATTTTAATGATGTTAATTCTTCCTATCCATGAACATGGTATATGCTTCCACTTTTTTATATCTTCCTCTATTTCTTTTTTCAATGACCTGTAGTTTTCTGCAAATAGGTCCTTTACTTCTTTGGTTAAGTTTATTCCTATGGATCTTAATTTTTGCCGTAGTGATAAATGGGATTGTTTTTTTCAGTTTCTCTTTCTGTGAGTTCATTGTTGGTGTATAAGAATGCTTTTGATTTCTTGATGTTAATTTAGTATCCTGCTACTTTGCCAAATTTAATTATTGAGCCTAGTAGAGTTTTTATGGGGTCTTTAGGGTTTTCTATGTACAATATTATGTCATCTGCAAATAATGAGTTTCATTTTCTCCTTTCCAATTTGGATTCCTTTTATTTTTTCTTCATGTCTCATTGCTGTGGATAAGACTTCCAGTACTATGTTAAATAAGAGTGGCAAAAGTTAGCATCCCTGTCTTATTCCTGTTCGTAAGGGAAATGCTTTTAGTTTTTGCCCATTGAATATGATGTTGGCTGTAGGTCTTTCATATATGGACTTTATTATGTCAAGATATGATGAGGAATGGGTGCTGGATTTTGTTGAATGCTTTTTCAGTATCTATTGATAAGATCATAAGGTTTTTATCTTTAATTTTACTTACGTGATGTATTACATTTATTGGTTTGTGAATATGGTATCATTCTTGCATCCCTGGGATGAATCCCACTTGCTCATGATAATTTTTTTGATGTACTGCTGGATCCGATTTGCTAATATTTTGTTAAGAATTTTGGCATCTGTGTTCATCAGGGATATTAGCCTGTAGTTTTTTTTTTTCTTTGTAGTATCTTTATCCAATTTTGGAATTAGGACTATGCTGTCCTCATAAAATAAGTTTGGAAGTTTTCCATCTTTTTTGGATTTTTTGGAATAGTTTGAAAAAAATGTGTAGCAGATCTTTGAATGTTCAGTAAAACTCCCCAGTGAAGCCATCTGGGCCTGGCTTTTGTTTGCTGGGAGTTTCTTAATTACATCTTCAATTTCCTTTGTTGTTATTGGTGTGTTCAAGTTTTGTATTTCTTCTCGGTTCAGTTTCAGGAGATTGTGTGTTTCTAGAAATGTTTCCATTTCTCCTAGATTGTCCAGTTCGTTGGTGTATAATTGTTTGTAGGATGTTTCGATGGTCCTTTGTATTTCTGTGGTGTTAGTTGTTACTTCTCCTCTTTCATTTCTGATTTTGTTTATTTGGGTCTTCTCTTTGTTTCTTGATGAGTTTGGCTAATGGTCCATCCATCTTGTTTATCTTTTTGAAGAGTCAGCTTTTTGTTTCATTGATCTTTTGACTTATTTTTTAGTCTCTATGTCATTTATTTCTGCTCTGACCTTTAATATTTATTTCTTTCTACTTGGTCTGGGTTTTTCTTTTTGTTTACTTTCTAGTTCTTTAAGTTGTAGGATTAGGAAGTCAATTAAAAATTTTTCTTGTTTCTTGAGATAGGCCTGCTATGAACTTCCCTCTCAGGATTGCTTTCACTGCATTCCATAGATTTTGTGTTATGTGTTCGTTTTCATTGGTTTCCAGAAAGTTTTTAACTTCTTCCTTGATCTTGTTGCTATCATTGTTTAATAATATGTTATTTAGCCTCAAAATGTTTGAATGTTTCTTTTGTAACTGAGTTCTAGTTTCATGCCATTGTGATCTAAGAAGATGCTTGATATAATTTCAATCTCCTTGAATTTGTAGAGACTTAGTTGTGTCCTAACATGTGGTCTATCTTTGAGAATGTCCCATGTGCACTTGAGAAGAATGTATATTCTTCAGCTTTGGGGTGAAATGTTCTATAAATATCAATTAAGTTCAACTGATCTAGTTCCTCATTTAGGGACTCTATGCCCTTGTTAATTTTTTATCTAGATCTATCCAATGGTGTCAGTGGGGTGTTAAAGTCACTCACTATAATCATAATGCTATTGATCTCTCCCTTGAAGTCCTCCAGAAGTTCTTAAATATATTTTTATGATCCCATATTTGGTGCATATATGTTTACCAGGGTTATATTCTCTTGTTGGATTGATCTTTTTAATGTTCTGTAGTGACCTTCTTTGTCTCTTATTATGGCCCTTGTTTTGAAGTCTATCTTGTCATATATGAGTATTGCTACACCAGCTTTTTTTTCATTTTCATTTGCTTGGAAAATTTTTTTCCATCTCTTCGCTTTCATCCTGTGTGAGTCTTTTGTTATGAGATGGGTCTCTTGTAGACAGCATATATATGGGTCATGTTTTCTTACCCAATCAGCTACCCTGTGTGTTTTGATTGGAGCATGTAAGCCATTTACATTTAAGGTTATTATTGATAGGTAGTTATTAGTTGCCATTTTTTATTTTATGCCTGTGTTTCTTTCTCTCTCTCTCTCTCTCTCTCTCTCTCTCTCTCTCTCTCTCTCTCCCTCTCTCGTTTCTTTTTCTTCTTACAACAGTCCCTTCAGCATTTCTTGCAGTGCTGACTTGGTGGTAAATTCCTTTAGTTGTTTTTTTTTTATCTGTGAAGTTTTTTATTATTTATTTATTTATTCATTTTTAATTTTGAATGAGAGCATTGCTGGATAGAGTCGTTTTGGATTCAGACCTTTGCCTTGCATTATTTTGTACATTTTATGCCACTCCCTTCTGGCCTGTAGTGTTTCTACTGAGAAGTCAGCTGTCAGTCTAATGGGAGTTACCTTGTAGGTAACTTTCTGTCTCTCTCTTGCTTCCTTTAAAATTCTTTTTTTGTCTTTAATGTTTGCCATTTTTATTATAATGTGTTTAGCTGTGGGTCTTTTGGGGTTCATCTTGTTTGGAACTCTCTGTGTTTCCTGGACTGGTGTGACTTTTTCTTTCACCAGTTTAGGGAAGTTTTCTGTCTATTTCTTCAAACAGGTTCTCTATTCCTTTCTCTGATTTTCCTTTTTCCAGTACCCCTAAAATTTAAATGTTGTTACATTTTGTATTGTCCCACAGCTCCCTTAAACTCTCCTTTTGATTTTTATTTTTCCCATTTGCTGCTCTATTTGGGTATTATTTTCTACCTTGTCTTCTAAGTTGCTGATTTGGTCTTCAGCCTCTTCTAATCTGCTATTGAACCCTTCTCTAGGGTATTTTTTATAACAGCTATGTCATTCTTTATTTCCTCTTGATTTTTATGCAGAGCTTCTACCATTTTTTTTAAGCTGAAGTAATTCCCAGTGAGCTCTTCATAATTCTTATTGATTGTAGTTCTCACCAAATTGTTTGAGCACCCTTAAAATCATTCCTTTGAATTTTTTATCTGACAAGTTGCTTTTTTCCATTTCCTGTAGTTCCTTTTCTGGTGATTCCTCTTTTTCTTTCATTTGGGTGTTGTTTCTTTGTCTCATCATTTTAGCAATCTAGTGGTTCTAGGTCCAGTGAGGGATGTTGGAGTGTGTAGCAGGTCAATGCGTATCAAATAAAGCTGCTGTGCCTCCCAGACTGTTTTGGTGTATGGTGCCTCTTGCCAGCTGTGGGTCCAGGAGGATTGACAGTTGGTGGCTGATATTGGTCTGTCATGCAGGTCTCAGCTTCCCAAGTCTTACTGCTGCTTGAGCTGGCATACTGCTCCTGATCAGTCTCTGCTGATGCTGCTGGGAATGGGTCTCAGCTGCTGATCTGTGCTGCAGCTGCCTGGGGTGCATGGGTCCAGATGGTATTTTTCCGGGGTGTGTAGGGTCCCACTGGTACACTGATGAGGTGTGTGGGCTCCACTGCACACTGTTGGGGTTTGTGGGTCTTACTGGTGTGCTTCTGGGGGGGGTGTGGTCCCACTGGTATCCTTCTGGGGTATGTGGGTTCCACTGGTGTGCTTCTGGAGTTTGTGGGTCCTGCTGGTATTCTGCTGGGGTGCATGGGTCTCACTGGTGTCCTGCTAGAGTACCCTGCTGTCTTGTGGGGCTCAGCTTCTGATCAGTTGCTGTTGGGGGTGAATGTCAGCTCCCGATTAGTACTGCTACTCTGGCTGCTGTTGCCAGGGGGTGCTCTCAGGTCCTAATTTTTTGTTGCTGTTAAGGCTGAGTATGCTTTGCTCCTGGGACTTTGCTGCTGCCAGGGGGAGAAGTTTCACTCCAAATCCACTGCTGCAGTTGTCAGGGGCAGGTCTCGACTGCCCAAACCCTGCTACTTGGGCTGGGGCACAGCTCCTGATCAGCCTTTGCTGATGCCACTGGGGATGGGTCTTAGCTGCTGATCTGAGCTGCTACTGCCTGTTGGGGGTAGGGCTCCACTCCCACCCAGTCACTGGGGGAAGGTGCCAGGCTCCCAAGCTGACGCTAGTGCTGTTGGGGGTGTGTCTTCACTCTTGAGCCTCCCTGAGCCTTGACTGCTGTTACATTCTCCATTTTTTATTGTGCTGCATTACTTCAAAGATAATGGAATCCTTACCTTTGGTACTTCTGCTGTCATAGCAACTGAAAATTTGATCACGTGTGCCTTGTTAAACAAGTAAACTCTATTTATCATAACATGAAAGAAACTAAGTAGACAAACAGAGTGTAAAAACCTACAGTTCTGATTCTTGTCCTAAAACAAACAGGACACAGGAAGTGGATACCAGTGTCATGTGCTGATGCAAAGCTTCTGGGAACCCCGCAGGCTCTGGTGGCTCTCATGCACCCTGGAAGCATTATGTTAGAATAAGAGAGTCTTCAATAGCTTAAAAGGTCTGGATGTGAGATTGGATGTGAGATTGGTTGAGCACAATGTAAAATAAAGCCAAAGTCACAAATTCAATACCCACATATAAACAACTGATTATTTTGATTTGTTCAAATAAAAACCTAACTGTGACCAAAATCCTATCTTGACTTACCATCCATTTGAAATTTCTTTCGGAAAATGGTGTCAGCTTTTGGATAGTCAGAAGGGATTAGTTCTAAATCCATCTCTGTGTGGGAAGAAGAGACAAACGCATACTAATTTAGTTGAATATATATATATATACACTCATCAATTTCAATCACATAACAGTGCTGGGAAGCGTTTTTGGGAAAGGTAACAAGCCAATTTCAGTAAAGGCAACAATATAAAAATTACTGGGAAAGTTCAAAATTGTAGAATCTTTATACATGTCGAATAAAATCAGGACACATCTTAGGCCTTTTAAAAAACTTGCACCTAAATAAACCTATGAATCATATATGTACTTTCCCCCTTCTACCTATCAATTATACATACAGTCATTCTCTTTCATACGAATATTACTAGTGCATTCCAGAAACAGTCTCAAGAAGCAAGTTATGCTGATGCTGAGCTAGGCTACTTGACTTAAATAAACTTCATTCTAATCAGTTGTTCCTGTAAGTACATACCCAAGCAGTTTTCTAAAAAAAACCTGGGACTGACACCCAGAGGAAACTTGAAGATAAAGGGGTTAATGATGGTCTTGGGAAACTCAGAGGGACCATAAAAAAGAAAGAGATTAATAATTGCCCTTACCCTGACCTCTGTAACAGCTCCTCTCATATCAGTTTTGTTTTTCCCTTAATAGCACCAAAAGCAGCACCAAGAGTATGTAGTTTGAGCCTTTATAAGCAGACAACAAAGAAGGCTCAGGGCTGTGATTTGGGAAGCTATACCCCTGCAGCCCACTGGTGAATAAAGTGCTCCTTCTTTTACAACTTGGCTGTGCATTTCTGGTTATCTTGCTGACATGTCACAACAATGCCAGTGAGTGTGAGATACCAGCTAATATATCAAATATGCCCAAATCAAAGGGAGCTGTTTTTTGGCAAATGTTCTTTACACATTTAGGCTAATTTTAACTCTATTCTAAAAATGAACTAACTTAGTTAGCTGTGGTTACTTGGGTCTATTCATCCCTGCAGATTAAAAAGGATAGCATAAAACTCAATGCTCTAATCTACAGGAACACTTCCACAATAATGACTTTAAAAAATATGTTTTTATTGATTTTTTTGAGAGACAGGATGTGAGAGAGAAACACTGATAGGCTGCTTTCTGCACACCACCCACCGGGGATTGAGCATGCAACCCAGGCATGTGCTCTGGCTGGGAATCAAAATGGAACCTCTCAGTCCATGGGACTACACTCAATCCACTGAGCCACACTGGCTGGGCAATAATTATTTTTAACACTTCCATCAAAGTGATTTTTAAATTCTGCCTCTGTTTCCAAAGCTAAAATCTCACTTTATTCTTCCACGCCACATTATTAGCTTGGAGCTTTGATAAGAATACCTTCTGGTGCTGATCACAGGCCTGAATGCATACAACTATGTGAAGGAAGGTCTGCCTGAGGTCCACCTTGCACCAAGGTGAGAGAATCTTCTATTTAGTCAAGAAGACAAAACAGGTATTTAAATTTTAATACTACAATGTTTGCCACTATGAGCAATAATGAAGTTTTCATTTGAAATAAACACACCCTATGATATTTTTTAGTGATGTCCATCTCAAAGTACTAAAGTACTTAACCTGTCTTGTAAGAAAGTGGACCAACATCCTGACAGTGAAATAGTTAAGGCAATATTTCCAAAATCACATAATAATGATGCTATATTGTAAAAGAGCATTTAAACTTCAAATCTAAATAAACTACATCGCTGATTCTTAGAGAATCCACATGCTCAATGATATGTTAAAAGCACATCAGTCTGACACCGCTGTACTTCACCTAGTTATGAATAACAGGAGAGAAGTGAAGGAAAGGCATGGCATTTGGACAGCTTCACCAGGAAGCTCCAGCTCTTAACTACCCAGGGAGCCACTGGTCCATTCCTTCAAGATGGGGGGACGTCAGGGTGTGGGGGGTGTGAACAGACTCATGCCCAATAAAGTTGGAGGGGAGGAGTAAACATGCTTCCTGTCAGTCACACCTGGGAACAAGTCATTGGCCAGAGTAGGCGGGGCCACTGCCAGTGCAGGAAGATCTGAGATACTTAATTTCCTCTCTGGGCTGTGCTCTTGGACTCTAGGGCTCTTGGTTGTTAGCATATTATGGTTGACTCCTGACTGGTGGGGCTGTCTGGCTCCTACCTCCTGTGTTTGTGCACATGGCCCACGCAGACCCCACACAATGGATTAATGGACTGGAACTAGCCTGAGGCTGAACCAGACCCAGCTGCAATATGGAATGGAAACTGTGGACACTGGCTTTGTTTGTAGATCTACTGAAACCCTAAGCACACTTCTTCCAAGACTGGATTAAGGAAAATGGGACTTTGGAAACCCAGGGATGTAATTACATGAAAATTAAAATTACTCATTCTCCTATGCCAGTCTCAGAAAATTATGTTTCACAGATATTTTAAGAACACTACCCCAAGCACTCAATGAGAAAAGGGATACCCCGCTTCTACCAATAACAAATCTAACAATGAATAATGTCTAACAAATCATTTTACCAATTTGCCTAGAATCTTTTTTTCTTTCCAAATAATAGTTGGAATCTTGCACAAACATAATATGGGACTTTCTGGTTTAACAGACACCTGAGCCATCCGTTTTGATAGTATTGCCAACACTAGAAATTTAATCACTAAACCAATTATCTTGTTCTTTTAAGAAAACACCTTCACTAAATTTCAAGTTTATTAAATTGCTTTTGGAGAAACTATTCTATTCAACATTTAATGTAAAAAAAAAAAACCCATGCAATTAAATTTTTTTTTTTTGCATATCTGAAAATGAGAAAAATGTTAGTTATTTTGAAAAATCAATAATTCAGTTGTGAACAAAGTGAGAGAGAAACTATCCCAGCAGCCTCAAACTTCAGGTTTCTGAAAGAATTATAGACTATTTCCTACAAAAAAAATAAAGCAAATATATTGCATCTGAATAATAATAATAATAAAAAAGAATAAAAGTTTGCAGAAGTAGCCATATTATGTATTAGTGCCTAGGGCATAATAAAGTTGGATTACAATTTTCAGTGGGAAGCCCAAGAAAACTGTGCACTTGAATCAAAGAAGCAGGCTTACACACACACACACACACACACACACACACACACATGCTCCAAACCAAGATGTGCTACTAGGCTTCTAAATACAAAAATCAAGAAGGCTGAAATAAGAGAAAAGACAACTTTGCAGTAAAAAAGCAAAATTAGCTCAAGTAACAAACAAAAGTTTCCCTACCCTACACCTAGGTTCTAGGGCAGACACGTACCTCAGGGCTGACCCATCAATCACAGCTGGCCTAGGACTTCTCAAGAACCAGAAGGGAATGCCCAGCTGGTGTGGCTCAGTGGTTGAGCATCCACCCATGTGCTAAGAGGTCCCCAGTTCAATTCCTAGTCAGGGCACATGCCCAGGTTATAAGCCCAATCCCTAGTGTGTGGTGTGCAAAAGCTGGCCAATGGATGTTCTCTCTCATAGATGTTTTTGTCTCTCTCTCCCTTTCCCTTCCTCTCTTTTCAAAAAAAAAAAAAAATCAATAAAGAAAAAAATTTTTAAAAACCCCAGAAGGGATAGGCAGAGCTGACTCTAGGATCCTTGGAGAGTCTGCAGCTGTGGACTCTCCCTTTGCAGCAGGAGGAGAAGCCTTCCCAGGAGAGCAGAACTGAGACAGGTTCTGAGACCATCACTGGACTCCTGAATCCAGGGCGACTTAGACTTTTACTCTGTGAACTCTGGTTATGCAAGTCAACACTTTTTCTTAAAAGATTTTAAGCTATTTTGAGATTGATTTCTTTTAACCATTAGCATATTTGCTGTTTAATAAATACATAATAGCCTCTCAAGTGTTATTACTATACTTTACTTGGCTAGCTTCCTATTGGGTTTTAAGTAGTTACAAAGTTCTATTCTTCTAATATTGTCAAAATTCTTCACATATATAGTGTTTTTTAAACAATTTTTAAAATCTCCTTAGGACACTCTTTAAAATAAAATGGCTAGACCAAAGGGTTAGATTGTTTCTATGGCTCAATATATAAAACTAAGTTGTTTTATAAAACAGATGAGGGCATATTAGTGTATAATGCTACCAAGCATAGCAATTTTAGCTACTACCCCAGCTTTGAATACTTTAAAAAAATCCTAGTCATGTGAATGAGGAATTACAGTGTCTCTAATTTGCATTTCTTCTATTACATAGTGGGACCAGTTAACTGTTATCTGCACTTTGGCGAATTGCTTATTATTTGCATGTACTGTATGTTCTGTACCCACTAGGGCCCTAATGTTGTCAATTTGCATTAGGATTTCATAAAATATTTTCTGTTTATAGCCATGGCCGGTGTGGCTCAGTTGGTTGGGCATCTTCCCAGGCACCCAGGGGTTGTCTGTTCTGCTCCCAATCAGGGCACATGCCCAGGTTGCAGGCACAATCCCCAGAAGGGGGGATACAGAAGGCAGCCAATGATGTGTTGCTCTCACATCAAGGTTTTTCTCTCTGAAAATTAATAAAAAATCTTTTTAAAAAATGGCTATATCACCCTGAATGCACCTGAGCTTGTCTACAACAATTTTACATATAACTTGCACCTTTTGCTCATTGCAAATACTGCATCACTATTTTATAGAATGGTTTTAAGCAGTTTTTTTTTTTTTTTTTCAAAAAAACATTCATTTCAACATGATTTCAATTAAATAGAAATGTCAGCTTTTTCTGGGCCAACTGCTGGGCACCCGTTTACTTAAGATTTCCTGAACTGCTCTATCTCCATAATATACATTGTATTTACTATCTATAGTATTAGTTTTGTGGCCCATAACACAAAGTTTAGAGTCTAACAATTACCATGTACACCAATGATTTTATCTCTCCAAGTCCACACTTTCCACCCGTCAGCACACTCCTGTGTCCCCCAGTCTCCTGCTCCTGGAGCCTGGCTTCCAGTTTCCTGGCCTCTGATAATCCTCACTCTGGCTTCCAACCACTTCTGTAGCTGCCTCACCTTGGATCTCAGTATGGCCGTGA